AGAATGCAAATTGTCGAGCAAATATGTTAAGACTTCCCATGATGTTAGGACTCGTTGAGAGTGCACCACACACGACGGCTGGAAAACTGTACCGGCTCATTAGTCTAGCTAACCGAGCCTCGCAGAGTTATGTGAAAATAAGGCGAGATCTATGCGAATGACATAAAACCAAAAAACCGAAATAGCCGAGGCTCGTCGTCATTCGTCATTGCGTGGAATTATTCTCGCTAGTTGTTCGCTAGACTAGGAAAAATCGACGCGGTAAACATCCAGCGAGTGTAATAATTTCGCGGCGCTATTTCAAATTTCCAATTTCGCGAGGTGGTTCCACGTTTCTCGGTGTTTCACGCTTATTGACAAAAATGAAGAAACAATATGCTCCTCGTGAAACGCTCTTTTTATTTTTCAGTTTCATAAGAATGGTGATATGTCATACATTGACAGAGTATAGGTATTTTTTTGAAGTTCGCAATTAATATTGAAGCGGAAGATCGGTCGAAAGTTTAGAAACATATTATAGTGGATTCGTGTGTATAATCATTTTCAACAAAAATAGTATGAAAAGTAGTATATAAGCGTATTTTCGTGGAGTTCTGATGCAATGTCGAGAAACCTCTTAAATCTTTATAACTATAGAGAATCTGACATTATTAATCTAACGCAAAACTCAATTAGTATGTCAGTACTTTTGTAATTCTCGTTCGTTAATTCTATTCCATTAACGACAGATTTGAACGTTTCGTGTAATTTCGTTCGGAATGATCGTTTCATTCGGATTTAAGCCGGGAGACCAACATGGCTTCTTAATTAGATTAATTATTTAAAATATTTAGGATCGTTGAAACAACCATTTCGTTAACATTCTTTCTTGAATAAATGACTGTAGGTATACTGTTTTCCAATACACACAAAGTTTGCCATAGTTTCTCTTATTTGCATTATCGAACAAGAATCGGATAGATTTCAAATTCTATTTATGGTTGTAAACATTGTCAGTGCAAATATCTAGTCGAAAGATTCAAAGATCATGGAACATGTGTAATGATTACTCGCGCATATATTTGTATAACAAAGTTTTTATATACACGGATAACATGTGTGTACATATAAGCAGTGGATGATTCCTCGCAAAGAAATAAAGAAAGGATATAGAACAAAATTTTTTGACTTGAGGTATTGTATTAAAGGTCGTTTTAATTTAAATTTAACAAACATCGCCATCTAGTGACAATAATTTAACTTATAACATAACCTATATTCTTGTAGGTACGATGATCGATAAATAATAAAGTGACCGTACTACAAAGGAAAATTTTATAATTTATTTTAACGTTTATATGATACAGAATTTAATGGATGAATTACGACTGTTTTTATTAATTTCTTATTTACTATTCTCGGCAATTTGTTTGTAACATGGTAACCAATAATTTATTGTATTTCCATGGTAACTTTTTATAAGACTAAATAGATGTCGCTACAATCTAATTAAATATATTGCCATTTAGTGACAATAATTTAACTTATAACATAACCTATCTAGCAGAATAATTTAACTTATCGTAACATAACCTATATTCTAATTAAATATATTGCCATCTAGTGATAGCAATAATTTAACTTATAGCATAATTTATCTATCAGAATAATTTAACTTATTATAACAACCTATATTCTAATTAAATATATTGCCATCTAGTGACAATAATTTAACTTATGACATAACCTATCTAGCAGAATAATTTAACTTATTATAACATAACCTCTATTCTAATTAAATATATTGCCATCTAGTGATAACAATAATTTAACTTATAACACAACCTATCTATCAGAATAATTTAACTTATTGTAACATAACCTATATTCTAATTAAATATATTGCCATCTAGTGATAGTAATAATTTAACTTATAATACATAACCTATCTATCAGAATAATTTAATTTATTATAATATAACCTATATTCTAATTAAATATATTGCCATCTAGTGATAGCAATAATTTAACTTATAACATAACCTATCTATCAGAATAATTTAATTTATTATAACAAAACCTATATTCTAATTAAATATATTGACATTTAGTGCGCCTATTATGATATTATATTATAGATTTAAAACTGTTAAATGAAGTGAAATTTTTCATCGAGAAACATTACTTCTGGGTATCCCTGATACATGTTATTTCGATGCATCCGGTATAACATAGATTGTTTCCTAACTTTTGCCAGTAAGATTGTATTCGATTCGAAATGTGATTGGGATATTTTTAGAAAGAATTCGATTTAAGGAAAGCCGCAGATTTTTCGATGCTCTCGGGAATGGTCCATTTAGAGCAAACATTTTTAAAACAAACGTCGACGAGGCAATAAGCGTGCCTCGTGTCTTACAACTCGGGTAAATGTTCCTCGGCTCGTATCATCCGATGCGATTCACGATCCTCGCGCAGCACACATAAACCGGAATGACGCGGGCGTATGTCTGTTTGAATCACACTCACTCACTGCAGCTTCAGTTCTCTCGTCTTGGAAATTACAAAAGGCCGCCGGCCCGCTCTTACATCTCACGCCGTGTAATATCCCACCGTGTGTATATAAATGTGATTATCTCGTTACGCTCGCGCAGATGCGTGCCGCGCCTCAAAATCTTCGTATCTATATTTTAAATGCAAATCCAGCTTTTTCAACGGGTTGTTCTCTAGCGAGGTTGTTTAACCAAATATGCGTGTTCTTGTTCAAGTTAAATAGGATTTTCAGTCGGATTTTTAAAAGGAATTTAATGGAATAAGCATTGAAATATAAATATAGGATATACATAACATAAAAATATTAAAAATATACATATTATACTATACTTTTTATTAATTTATATTTAGGATAAAATATTACATTATACTATGTCGCATGGCTTTCGTTCAAACATTCTAAACACACATTTGTGGTGATTTTGGACAATTGGAACAATAGGTCGTAGTATTCTTTTTACACTTTTCCTCGCTTCTTGGCCTCTTCTTCTTGTAACATAGGGCGCACATCCTTCTTATAGGCTATGTCCTGCTGATTCTTACGAATCTCTAAATGGTGAGACACTTTCTCCGTTTTGTTTCTATTATTGTCGGGCATAGTATTTTCCGAGGACAACCATTCGGTAACG